GTGCTGCTTTTGAGAGCTGCTTTTCACTGTCCTATAAGCCACCTGCTGCAGTTGATGCGTGCTCTTCCTTCAACCATCCTTTCCCCGCCACCCCGCAAACCCCCTTTCCCCCTTTTTTTGTATCAACGGCTCGCAGAGAGCACTTTTGAGGCGCCTCAAAAGTTGTCTCTCTACCCGCAATTCCCGTATCTCCCCCCCCCCCCCCCCCCCCCCCCCGTCTTTTTTTGCTCATCAACTGCACTCAGAGAGCACAGATCGGGTAGCCTACAGGCTCGTCCCCGAGTTTGTGGGGCGATTCCTTGTGTTATTGTTATACCCCTCCAGATCCTCCCTCCCCATCGTTCAACATCCCTCCCCACCCGTCCCCACCCCTCCCTACCCCTCTGGAACGGCAGGCAGAGAGCACGGATCTGATAGCCTATGGGCTCATCCCTGAGTTTGTGGGGCGATTCCCCGTGCTGGTGGGGCTGCATGCGCTCACAGAGGAGCAACTCGTGCAGGTAATGACTGATGCAGGTAGTGACTTGTGCAGGTAATGACTGGTGCAGGTAATGACTGATGCAGGTAGTGACTTGTGCAGGTAATGACTGGTGCAGGTAGTGACTGGTGCAGGTAATGACTGGTGCAGGTAATGACTGGTGCAGGTAATGACTGGTGCAGGTAGTGACTGGTGCAGGTAATGACTGGTGCAGGTAATGACTGGTGCAGGTAATGACTGGTGCAGGTAATGACTGGTGCAGGTAATGACTGGTGCAGGTAGTGACTGGTGCAGGTAATGACTGGTGCAGGTAATGACTGGTGCAGGTAATGACTGGTGCAGGTAATGACTGGTGCAGGTAGTGACTGGTGCTGGTAATGACTGGTGCAGGTAGTGACTGGTGCAGGTAATGACTGGTGCAGGTAATGACTGGTGCTGGTAATGACTGGTGCAGGTAATGACTGGTGCGGGTAATGACTGGTGCGGGTAATGACTGGTGCGGGTAATGACTGGTGCGGGTAATGACTGGTGTGTGTAGGCTTTGGTAACAACAGCTGGTGCTCATGGGGCTGCGTGCTTTCACAAAAGAGCAACATGTGCAGGTAGGTGTAGTGCAGGTGGCAACTGGTGCAGGTGGCAACTGGTGCAGGTGGAAGCAAAGGACCTTTCTTATGCACTTCGAATTATGTCTATATACAGAGCTGAGTGGCTTTCCTTGCACGATTCGACACGTATTTTGGTCCATCTTCTTTTCCTAATCCCTGCCCAGAAAATTTACGTTCTTAAAACCGGAGGGCCAAGAAGGCCCAAATTGCCTCAACCTTCCTAACCTTGGTTGAGTTTGGCCCTCGCACCCAAAATCTTGGCCAATTGTGTTGCTCGCTCCAACCAAGCTTCCTAAGGTTGAAGTTCTTGGCCCGCGGGTTGTAACCCCTGAAACACTACCCGATTCTTATCCCTCTCCCCACCCTCCTGCTCCTTCTCCGTACTCGTTCTCTCCTCTCGGTGTGGCTCTCACTTGCAGGTTCTCTTAAAGCCCAAGAACGCCCTCAGCAAGCAATTCGCCAAGCTATTGGCCATGAACAACGTGAGTGCAGTGTGGGCTGCTGGTTGTGGGTCACGAGCATTGTGTTTTCTATTGTATAAATAAGAAATCCAGACAGTTCTCGGTTAGCAAGCAAGTGCAATTTGCAAAGCTACAGGATGCAGAATAGCACTCAGTGTTGCCTTCTTCCTTGTCCTCATGCTCTCCCAATCCTCCCCTCCCCTCTTACTGAGGCCCGTCTGCACATGACAGAGGAGGCAGTGAGGGCCATTGCGTGGAGTACAGCACCCATTCTTGCCCTTTTCCATGACCTCGTGCCATCTCCATCTCATCTCTTCCTGCCCTCCCTTCCACTCCACCCACTCAGGCCCGCTTGCACATGACGGAGGGGGCAGTGAGGGCCATAGCGCGCAGAGCAGCAGCGCGAAACACGGGGGCCAGGGGGCTGCGATCGCTGCTGGAGGGGCTGCTCACCGAGGCTATGTACGAGGTATGGCGACTGCCGAGGCTATGTACGAGGTATGGCGACTGCCGAGGCTATGTACGAGGTATGGTGGCTGCCGAGGCTGTGTATGAGGTATGATGATTACCGAGGCTATGTATGAGGTATGGCGGTTACTGAGCCTCTGTATGAGGTACAATGTAATAGATACGGTACTCACCAGGCCTATGTACGGGGTACGGTGTAACAGGCTAACAAAAGGTACGGCGGTTACTAAGGCTGTGTATGAGGTACGTACAGCAGTTACCGAGGCACTGCTTGAGGTACGTACGGCAGTTACCAAGGCTGTGTATGAGGTACTGTGATCGCCAGTGGACCTTGGTATTGTTGTGAAGGCAATGTTGTTGGATGAGGTATCAGTGGGGGCTCGGAGGGGAGGTGGGGTTAACCTGCTCGGAGGGGAGGTGGGGTTAACCTGCTCGCTGCTTCCCTCCATCCATCCCTCCATTCCGTCCTTCCCACCCCAACTCCCCAGGTCCCCAGCAATCTGGTGGAAGCAGTGGTGCTGGACGAGGCATCGGTGGGGCACGAGGGGGAGGAAGGGGAAGAGGGCAAGCCGGTGTGCAACTGTGTCCTTGATCATTGCCCTCATTCCACGCCCATCCGTCATCTCATGCCCCAACCCACCAGGTCCCCAGCAGTCTAGTGAAGGCAGTTGTGTTGGACAAGGCATCGGTGGGGCACGAGGGGGAGGAGGGGGGCGACGGGGTAACCTGCACTCTGCCATCATCCATCCATCCCTCCTATCCCTGCTCTTCCAAGCCTGATCTTCCCGTCCCTGCCATCCCTGCCATCCCCACCAGGTCCCCAGCTCTCTGGTGGAAGCAGTGGTGCTGGACGAGGCATCGGTGGGGCACGAGGGGGAGGAGGGCGAGGACGGGGTACCGGGGTGTGGGGCCCACATACTGCAAGGGGAGGGCTCGTGGGAGCGGTGGTTGCAGGATAACGAGGGGGGAGGAGAGAAGGCGGGAGGGAAGGGAGAGGAGGGCCAAGGGGGAGGAAGCAAGGGAGGCTCATCTGGGGGAGGTGGAAGTGATGAGGAATCGGATGCAGCTCCTGCTCTTGCCACAGCCACTGCAGCTTGATCTGCCTTGTCGTCTCCTGTCGAGCACCTGTCTACCACGCTTGGACTCTTCTCAGCTCCTGCACTTGCCACAGCCACTGCAGCTTGATCTGCCTTGTCGTCTCCTGTCGAGCACCTGTCTACCACGCTTGGACTCTGCTCAGCTCCTGCACTTGCCACAGCCACTGCAGCTTGATCTGCCTTGTCGTCTCCTGTCGAGCACCTGTCTACCACGCTTGGACTCTGCTCAGCTCCTGCACTTGCCACAGCCACTGCAGCTTGATCCGCCATGCCACTGCATCTCCCATCCAGCATCTGTCTACTACCCCTTCTATTGTGGTGGACTGGGGGATGTCACCGTGCTAGAGCGTGCTGCTAGGTATCGGTGTATCCTTGCCGCTCGGAAGGTGGGATTGCAGGATGTTTTCATCATCTGTGTGTATATGCCTCCTCTTCTCTCTCGCTCGGAGTTCAAACAGTTTGTCTGCCTCCGATTGCATGTTTTCCTGCAAGTACTGTACTGCATGTATGATATACGTAGAGCAAACAAGGGGTACTATAACGCAGAGCGTGGACAATAAAGAGAGTGACAATAGCGAGAGGGGAGATGAAACCCCCCCATGCCCCCCCAAGGCCCCCCTAAGGCCCCCCTAAGGCCCCCCTAAGGCCCCCCTAAGGCCCCCCTAAGGCCCCCCTAAGGCCCCCCTAAGGCCCCCCTAAGGCCCCCCTAAGGCCCCCCTAAGGCCCCCCTAAGGCCCCCCTAAGGCCCCCCTAAGGCCCCCCTAAGGCCCCCCTAAGGCCCCCCTAAGGCCCCCCTAAGGCCCCCCTAAGGCCCCCCTAAGGCCCCCCTAAGGCCCCCCTAAGGCCCCCCTAAGGCCCCCCTAAGGCCCCCCTAAGGCCCCCCTAAGGCCCCCCTAAGGCCCCCCTAAGGCCCCCCTAAGGCCCCCCTAAGGCCCCCCTAAGGCCCCCCTAAGGCCCCCCTACCCCCCAAATCCCCTCCAAATCCCCTCACAGCCCCCCACAGCCCCCCCCAACCCCCAATCCCTGGCATGGCATCTATCCCAGGCATGGCATGGCATGGTCCTGGTTCTGGTCCTGGTCCTGGTCTTGTTCCTGGTTCTGGTTCTGGTCTTGGTCCTGGTCTTGTTCCTGTTCCTGGTCCTGGTCCTGGTCCTGTTCCTGTTCAGGTTCCTGGTCCTGGTCTTGTTCTTGTTCCTGTTCAGGTTCCTGTTCCTGTTCATGTTCCTGTTCCTGTTCATGTTGTCAGAAGGTGGCTGGAACAGTAACAAGACGGCACGAACAGCAGCTGGGCGGCAGCAACAGTAACCAGGTGGCCATAGCAGTAACTGGGCGGCTGGAACATTAACCGGGCAGCTGGAGCGATTACCAGGCTGGTGAAGTGGTAACCAGGCGGCTGGAGCGATAACCGGGCGGCTGGAACGGTAAGCAGGCGACAGGAACAGTAACCGGGCGGCATAAACAGCAGCCGGGCGGCATGAACAGTAACCGGGCTTGCAGGCGCCAAGGCTAGGCCAAACCCACCCCGTGCCTAGCCTTGCCCAAACCCACCCCGCAGCTCTTATATATCGACACACGCACACACAAGTACCGTACAAAACAAGAGCAAGGTGCATGTCCTTGTAAATATCCTACTTGTAGATGTGCCTCTATCTTGGCGGGGTGAGAAGGTCTCTTCACGGCGCCCTGCAGCGAGAGAAGGCCACCTGCGCAAGGCGGGGTGGGGAGGGGTGGCAGGATGGCAGGTGTGACAGCATGGCTCTCCGAGCCTCATCCAGACCAGAGCGGAGAGTGAACAGTGCAGGATGGGAACCAGTGGGGTGAACAGTGCGGGATGGGGAAACAGTGGGGTGAGCAGTGCGGGATGGGGAAGCAATAGGATGAACAGTGGGGGATGGGAAAACAGGGGGGTGAGGAGGAGTGCAGAGCAAGGGAACAACGAGTGCAGAGCAAGGGAACGACGAGTGCAGAGCAAGGGAACGACGAGTGCAGAGCAAGGGAACGACGAGTGCAGAGCAAGAGCATAGGAGAAGGGGGCCAGGAGAGTGAGAGCATAGGAGAAAGGGGCCAGGAGAGTGAGAGCATAGGAGAAGGGGGCCAGGAGAGTGAGAGCATAGGAGAAGGGGGCCAGGAGAGTGAGAGCATAGGAGAAGGGGGCCAGGAGAGTGAGAGCATAGGAGAAGGGGGCCAGGAGAGTGAGAGCATAGGAGAAGGGGGCCAGGAGAGTGAGAGCATAGGAGAAGGGGGCCAGGAGAGTGAGAGCATAGGAGAAGGGGGCCAGGAGAGTGGGGACCGTTGTCTCACCTCGTGCCTCACTGGCTTCGCCTTAGCCTCGCCGCACCGTTGCCCAGCTGCGCCCGTCACTGTCGGCAGAAACGAGCAAGGGCAGAAACGAGCAAGGGCGGAAACGAGCACGAGGACATGGCATGGCATGGTAATCGGGCGGCATGAACAGTAACGGGGCGGCAGGAGCAGTGACGGGCGGCAGGAGCAGTGACCGGGCGGCAGGAGCAGTGACCGGGCGGCACGAGCAGTGACGGGCGGCACGAGCAGAGACGGGCGGCACGAGCAGAGACGGGCGGCACGAGCAGTGACGGGCGGCACGAGCAGTGACGGGCGGCACGAACAGTGACGGGCGGCACGACCAGTGACGGGCGGCACGACCAGTGACGGGCGGCACGACCAGTGACGGGCGGCACGACCAGTGACGGGCGGCACGACCAGTGACGGGCGGCACGACCAGTGACGGGCGGTACGACCAGTGACGGGCGGCACGACCAGTGACGGGCGGCATCAACAGTGACGGGCGGCATGAACAGTGACGGGCGGCATGAACAGTGACGGGCGGCATGAACTGTAACCGGGCAGCGGGAACAGTAACCAGGCTTGTAGGGGCCAAGGCTAGCCCAAACCTACCCCGTGCCTAGCCCAAACCCACCCCGCAACTCTTATATCGACACACGCACAAGTACCATACAAACAAGAGCAAGGTGCATGTCCTAATAAATATCCTACTTGTAAGTATGTCTCGTGTCTTGGCGGGGTGAGAAGGTCTCTTCACGGTGCCCCGCAGAAAGGAGAGAAGACCTTTCTGCACAAGGCGGGGTGGGGAGGGATGGCAGGTGTGACAGCATGGCGGATGGTTTAGAAACCATGGCAGAGGTTTAGGGTGCAGCACAGGTGAGTGGAGGGGAGCAGAGCACGTGAGTGAGTGAGGAGCAATAGGAGCGAGCGCGAGGGGCCTCACCTCACTGGCCTCAACAGGTCTGCCCAGAGCGCTCCAAGTCTGCCCCAACCCTTTTTGAGGTGCCTCAAAAATCTGCCCAGGGCGCGCCGAGTCTGCCCCAACCTTTCCGAGGAGAGGAGGTGAACGGAGGGAAGGAGAGGTTTTAGCATAGGGGCTGGCGGAGGGCGGAACGAGGAGGAGGGCGGAACGAGGAGGAAGGGCGCAACGAGGAGGAAGGGCGCAACGAGGAGGAAGGGCGCAACAAGGAGGAAGGGCGCAACGAGGGGGAGGGCGGAACGAGGAGAAAGGGCGGAGGAACGAACAAGGGCAGAATGACGGAAGTGGAACGAGCAAGTGCGGAACGAGCAAGGGCGGAACGAGCAAGTGCGGAACGAGCAAGGGCGGAACGAGCAAGTGGGGAACGAGCAAGGGCGGAACGAGCAAGTGTGGAACGAGCAAGTGCGGAACGAGCAAGGGTGGAACGAGCAAGTGGGGAACGAGCAAGGGCGGAACGAGCAAGGGTGGAACGAGCAAGTGCGGAACGAGCAAGGGTGGAACGAACAAGGTGAGAAGAAACGCAGTCTGGCAGCAGAGAAAGAAACACCTCTGATTCCAACTATTCTGTGGGAGATCGATTTCATTCTAACACAGCGAGTAGGTGCTGATAGTTTGAAAGAGAGATCAGCGCTGCTGTTCGATAGAAGCGAGCAGGGCGTAATCGGTGGTGGCGAGGACTACTAGGACGAGGTCGATGACAATGAGAGAGGCAAGGAAGGAGCGGCCGTGGTGAGAGAAGAAACGCAGTCTATGCACTCGTCTCTGCAGTCGTCTCTCGACCTGTTTGAGGGACTTAGAAACGTAAAAACGTGCGTTGCTCGACAATTTCGCGACCGTTCGACGGTGAGGTCCGACCGAGCCACCTCGCGCGCACGTGCGTTCGCTCCGCGCAGCGACCCGTGTGACATGACATCGCATCATGCTGCAAACTAAACGGACATCAAACGCGATATTCGCTAATGAGAAAAAGCGCGGGACGGCTAAACGAAAGCGCTGCGCAGGGTGCAGCGCGAGGCGAGCAGGACGACGACTATCTAACGACCGCGAGGCGCACGAACAAACACGCGACTAGGACCTTAGCGAATGACACAGCAGCGGATTAGGTGGCTGTGACTGTAATTCTAGCTGCATAGTAGGTATGAGGGAAGAAGGTTCGAGTAGACCCGAAGACGGTTTGGGCTGAGGCAGCAGCGGGATGGATGGGACGGGTAGCTACCCAACCCCACCCACACAATGTTTTGTAACATTGTGGGCAGTAGAAACAAAAGTAGGAACATATCGAACCATAAAGGGTGTATTCTGACCACTCCTACTAGTGTAAAATCTCTTCGATTTTACTGTAGGTTGTGTGAAAGGTATCCAAACCCAAACCGAAATGGAAAAAAAAAAAAACAAAAGAGAAATACACCCACATCTCCAATGGGTTTCAAAGCCTGTTCCAGCGCGCTTGTCGTGGTGGAACAGGTCAAGAAAAAAAAAACACCCACCAATGAAAATTCAAAGCCTTGTCCAGCGCACGGATCGCGCGGTGAAACAGGTCAAGAATGATAGTATTACGGTGAGGTTGGTTCCAATATACAGCGCGGTTCCGACGAATCCAAATTTACATAGTGTATATATTTCTTTTGCTACTCAACTAGCATCAATAGATGTTTGTATTCGAATGTGAATTGTTAAATGGGCATACGAGAAGATAAACAAAGGACACACATAATGGCAGTAGAAGTTGCGTAAACGGGAATCGCAAGCAAATATGCGTGAGGACGTATAAATCACACGATGCATACTAAACAAAAACGCAATAAATGTGTAATTCATGTCAATATTATCAATACGATAATCGATACGACGACGAGGACGACGAGGAGGGCAAGGAGGAGGAGGAGGACGACGACGACGAGGAGGAGGAGCAGGGGCGGACGAGGAGGAGGGCGACGACGAGGACGACAAGGAGGATGAGGACGAGGACGAGGAGGACGTGGAGGACGAGGACGAGGACGATGACGAGGAGGAGGAGGAGGAGGAGGAGGAGGAGGAGGAGGAGGAGGAGGAGGAGGAGGAGGAGGAGGAGGAGGAGGAGGAGGAGGAGGAGGAGCAGGAGGCGGGGGAGCAGGAGGAGCAAGAGGAGGAGGAGGAGGAGGAGGAGGAGGAGGAGGAGGAGGAGGAGGAGGAGGAGGAGGAGGAGCAGGAGGAGCAAGAGGAGGAGGAGGAGGAGGAGGAGGAGGAGGAGGAGGAGGAGGAGGAGGAGGAGGAGGAGGAGGAGGAGGAGGAGGAAAAGGAGGAGGAGGAGGAACAGGAGGAGGAGGAGGAACAGGAGGAGGAGGAGGAGGAGGAGGAGGAGGAGGAGGAGGAGGAGGAGGAGGAGGAGGAGGAGGAGGAGGAAACACAAGCACAAGCAGCAAACAGTAAGTAGGAAATGCTCAATAGAAGTAGGACACACCAGCACGAGCACAAGCAGCAAACTGTGGTAGTGAGCATCCTCCTCACCATCGAGCAGCAAGAGGAAATGCTCTGCAGCAGTAGGACACACCAGCACGAGCACAAGCAGCAAACGGTAATTGTGAGCATCCGCCTCACCGTCGAGCAGCAGCAGAAAATACTAAGCAGAAGTAGGACACACCAGCACGAGCACAAGCAGCAAACAGTAGTAGTGAGCATCCGCCTCACCATCGAGCAGCAACAGGAAATGCGCAGCAGCAGTAGGAAACACCAGCATGAGCCAAGCAACAAACTGTAGTTGTGAGCATCCGCTTCACCATCGAGCAGCAACATGAAATGCTCAGCAGTAGTAGGAAACATCAGCACGAGCACAAGCAGCAAACGGTAGTTGTGAGCACCCGCCTCACTATCGAGCAGCAACAAAAAATGCTCAGCAGAAGTAGGAATCACCAACACGAGCACAAGCAGCAAACTGTAGTAGTGAGCTTCCGCCTCACCATCGAGCAGCAACAGGAAATGCTCAGGAGCACCATCACGCGCACAAGCAGCAAGCGGCGGTTGTGAGCATCCGCCTCACCATCGAGTAGCAACAGAAAATGCTCATCAGTAGTAGGACACACCAGCACGAGCACAAGCAGCAAACTGTGGTAGTGAGCATCCGCCTCACCATCGAGCAGCAAGAGAAAACGCTCAGCAGCAGTATGATACACCAGCACGAGCACAAGCAGCAAATGGTAGTTGTGAGCATCTGCCTCACCATCGAGCAGTAACGGAAAATGCTCAGCAGAAGTAGGACACACCAGCACGAGCACAAGCAGCAAACGGTACTAGCGAGCATCCGCCTCATCATTGAGCAGCAACAAGAAATGATCGGCAGCAGTAGGACACACCAGCACGAGCACAAGCAGCAAACGGTAGTTGTGAGCATCCGCCTCACCATCGAGCAGCAACAGGAAATGCGCAGCAGCAGTAGAAAACACCAGCACAAGCACAAGCAGCAAACTGTAGTAGTGAGCATCAACACCACCATCGGGCAGCAACAGGAAACGCTCAGCAGCAGTAGGAAACATCATCATGAGCACAAGCAGCAAACGGTAGTTGTGAGCATCCGCATCACCATCGAGCAGCAACAGGAAATGCTCAGCTGCAGTAGGAAACACCATCACGAGCACAAGCAGCAAACGGTAGTTGTGAGCATTCGCCTCACCATCGAGCAGCAACAGAAAATGCTCAGCAGCAGTAGGACACACCCGCACAAGCACAAGCAGCAAACGGTAGTTGTGAGCATCCACATCACCATCGAGCAGCAACAGGAAATGCTCAGCAGCAGTAGGAAACACCATCACGAGCACAAGCAGCAAACGGTAGTTGTGAGCATCCGCATCACCATCGAGCAGCAACAGGAAATGCTCAGCAGCAGTAGGAAACACCATCACGAGCACTAGCAGCAAACGGTAGTTGTGAGCATCCGCAGCACCATCGAGCAGCAACAGAAAATGATGAGCAGCAGTAGGAAACACCAGCACAAGCACAAGCAGCAAGCGACAGTTGTGAGCATCCGCGTCACCATCGAGCAGCAACAGAAAATGCTCAGCAGTGGTAGGAAACACCAACATGAGTATAGGCGGGGGAGGAGGAGGAGGAGGAGGAGGAGGAGGAGGAGGAGGAGGAGGAGGAGGAGGAGGAGGAGGAGGAGGAGGAGGAGGAGGAGGAGGAGGATGAGGAGGAGGAGGAGGAGGAGGAGGTTGAGTGCAATGCTGGTCCGTTGTGTGCGGTCATTGGTGGTGCTGAGTGCCCGTGAGCGGTGACACGCGGTGATGAGCGCTGATTAGGTTGGGAGCGGTGTCGAGTGGCTGTGAGTGGCTCTCGGATATTCAGAGTGGCAGTGAGCAGCGCTGAGCTGTTGTGTGTGGTCATTGGTGGTGCTGAGTGCCGGTGAGTGGTGACGAGCTGTGACGAGTGGTGATGAGCGGCTCAGAGAGGTGCGGAGTGGTGATGAGCGGCTTTGAGCGGTGCCGAGTGGTGATGAGCGGCTGTGAGTGGTGCAGAGTGCTGCAGAGCGGTTCAGAGCAGCAGTGAGCGGTGCTGGGCCGTTGTGTGCGGTCATTGCTGGTGCTGAGCGCCCGTGGGTGGTGAGGAGTAGTGATGAGCCACTCTGAGAGGTGCCAAGTGGTGATGAGCTGCTCTGAGCGGTGCCGAGTGCTGCAGAGCAGTTCAGAGCAGCAGTGAGTGGTGATGGGTCGTTGTGTGCGATGATTGGTGGTGCTGAGCGCCCGTGAGCGGTGACGAGAAGTGATGAGCCACTCAGAGAGGTGCCGAGTGGTTATGAGCGGCTCTGAGCGGTGCCGAGTACTGCAACAAGGTTCAGAGCGGCAATGAGAAGTATTGGGCCTTTGTGTGCGGTCATGGTGGTGCTGAGCGCCCGTGAGTGGTGACGAGCGGTGACGAGGGGTGATGAGCGACTAAGAGAGGTTTCCAGTGGTGATGAGCGGCTCTGAGGCGTGCCGAGTGCTGTAGAGTGGTACAGAGCGGCAGTGAGCGGTGCTGGGCCATTGTGTGCGGTCATTGGTGGTGCTGAGCGCCCGTGAGTGGTGACGAGCGGTGACGAACAATGACGAGCTTCTCAGAGAGGTGCCGAGTGGTGATGAGCGGCTCCGAGCGGTGCGGAGTTCTGCAGCGCGGTTCAGAACGGCAGTGAGAGGTGTTGGGCCTTTGTGTGCGGTCATTGGTGGTGCTGAGCGCCCGTGAGTGGTGATGAGCGGTGACTAGTGGTGATGAGCAACAGAGAGAGGTGTCGAGTGGTGATGAGCGGATCTGAGCGGTGCCAAGTGCTGCAGAGTGGTTCAGAGCGGCAGTGAGCGGTGGGTGCTGGGCTGTTCTGTTGTGTGTGGTCATTGGTGGTGCTGAGTGCCCGTGAGCGGTGACACGCGGTGATGAGCGCTGATTAGGTTGGGAGCGGTGTCGAGTGGCTGTGAGTGGCTCTCGGATATTCAGAGTGGCAGTGAGCAGCGCTGAGCTGTTGTGTGTGGTCATTGGTGGTGCTGAGTGCCGGTGAGTGGTGACGAGCTGTGACGAGTGGTGATGAGCGGCTCAGAGAGGTGCGGAGTGGTGATGAGCGGCTTTGAGCGGTGCCGAGTGGTGATGAGCGGCTGTGAGTGGTGCAGAGTGCTGCAGAGCGGTTCAGAGCAGCAGTGAGCGGTGCTGGGCCGTTGTGTGCGGTCATTGCTGGTGCTGAGCGCCCGTGGGTGGTGAGGAGTAGTGATGAGCCACTCTGAGAGGTGCCAAGTGGTGATGAGCTGCTCTGAGCGGTGCCGAGTGCTGCAGAGCAGTTCAGAGCAGCAGTGAGTGGTGATGGGTCGTTGTGTGCGATGATTGGTGGTGCTGAGCGCCCGTGAGCGGTGACGAGAAGTGATGAGCCACTCAGAGAGGTGCCGAGTGGTTATGAGCGGCTCTGAGCGGTGCCGAGTACTGCAACAAGGTTCAGAGCGGCAATGAGAAGTATTGGGCCTTTGTGTGCGGTCATGGTGGTGCTGAGCGCCCGTGAGTGGTGACGAGCGGTGACGAGGGGTGATGAGCGACTAAGAGAGGTGTCCAGTGGTGATGAGCGGCTCTGAGGCGTGCCGAGTGCTGTAGAGTGGTACAGAGCGGCAGTGAGCGGTGCTGGGCCATTGTGTGCGGTCATTGGTGGTGCTGAGCGCCCGTGAGTGGTGACGAGCGGTGACGAACAGTGACGAGCTTCTCAGAGAGGTGCCGAGTGGTGATGAGCGGCTCCGAGCGGTGCGGAGTTCTGCAGCGCGGTTCAGAACGGCAGTGAGAGGTGTTGGGCCTTTGTGTGCGGTCATTGGTGGTGCTGAGCGCCCGTGAGTGGTGATGAGCGGTGACTAGTGGTGATGAGCAACAGAGAGAGGTGTCGAGTGGTGATGAGCGGATCTGAGCGGTGCCAAGTGCTGCAGAGTGGTTCAGAGCGGCAGTGAGCGGTGGGTGCTGGGCTGTTCTGTTGTGTGTGGTCATTGGTGGTGCTGAGTGCCCGTGAGCGGTGACACGCGGTGATGAGCGCTGATTAGGTTGGGAGCGGTGTCGAGTGGCTGTGAGTGGCTCTCGGATATTCAGAGTGGCAGTGAGCAGCGCTGAGCTGTTGTGTGTGGTCATTGGTGGTGCTGAGTGCCGGTGAGTGGTGACGAGCTGTGACGAGTGGTGATGAGCGGCTCAGAGAGGTGCGGAGTGGTGATGAGCGGCTTTGAGCGGTGCCGAGTGGTGATGAGCGGCTGTGAGTGGTGCAGAGTGCTGCAGAGCGGTTCAGAGCAGCAGTGAGCGGTGCTGGGCCGTTGTGTGCGGTCATTGCTGGTGCTGAGCGCCCGTGGGTGGTGAGGAGTAGTGATGAGCCACTCTGAGAGGTGCCAAGTGGTGATGAGCTGCTCTGAGCGGTGCCGAGTGCTGCAGAGCAGTTCAGAGCAGCAGTGAGTGGTGATGGGTCGTTGTGTGCGATGATTGGTGGTGCTGAGCGCCCGTGAGCGGTGACGAGAAGTGATGAGCCACTCAGAGAGGTGCCGAGTGGTTATGAGCGGCTCTGAGCGGTGCCGAGTACTGCAACAAGGTTCAGAGCGGCAATGAGAAGTATTGGGCCTTTGTGTGCGGTCATGGTGGTGCTGAGCGCCCGTGAGTGGTGACGAGCGGTGACGAGGGGTGATGAGCGACTAAGAGAGGTGTCCAGTGGTGATGAGCGGCTCTGAGGCGTGCCGAGTGCTGTAGAGTGGTACAGAGCGGCAGTGAGCGGTGCTGGGCCATTGTGTGCGGTCATTGGTGGTGCTGAGCGCCCGTGAGTGGTGACGAGCGGTGACGAACAGTGACGAGCTTCTCAGAGAGGTGCCGAGTGGTGATGAGCGGCTCCGAGCGGTGCGGAGTTCTGCAGCGCGGTTCAGAACGGCAGTGAGAGGTGTTGGGCCTTTGTGTGCGGTCATTGGTGGTGCTGAGCGCCCGTGAGTGGTGATGAGCGGTGACTAGTGGTGATGAGCAACAGAGAGAGGTGTCGAGTGGTGATGAGCGGATCTGAGCGGTGCCAAGTGCTGCAGAGTGGTTCAGAGCGGCAGTGAGCGGTGGGTGCTGGGCTGTTCTGTTGTGTGTGGTCATTGGTGGTGCTGAGTGCCCGTGAGCGGTGACACGCGGTGATGAGCGCTGATTAGGTTGGGAGCGGTGTCGAGTGGCTGTGAGTGGCTCTCGGATATTCAGAGTGGCAGTGAGCAGCGCTGAGCTGTGACGAGTGGTGATGAGCGGCTCAGAGAGGTGCGGAGTGGTGATGAGCGGCTTTGAGCGGTGCCGAGTGGTGATGAGCGGCTGTGAGTGGTGCAGAGTGCTGCAGAGCGGTTCAGAGCAGCAGTGAGCGGTGCTGGGCCGTTGTGTGCGGTCATTGCTGGTGCTGAGCGCCCGTGGGTGGTGAGGAGTAGTGATGAGCCACTCTGAGAGGTGCCAAGTGGTGATGAGCTGCTCTGAGCGGTGCCGAGTGCTGCAGAGCAGTTCAGAGCAGCAGTGAGTGGTGATGGGTCGTTGTGTGCGATGATTGGTGGTGCTGAGCGCCCGTGAGCGGTGACGAGAAGTGATGAGCCACTCAGAGAGGTGCCGAGTGGTTATGAGCGGCTCTGAGCGGTGCCGAGTACTGCAACAAGGTTCAGAGCGGCAATGAGAAGTATTGGGCCTTTGTGTGCGGTCATGGTGGTGCTGAGCGCCCGTGAGTGGTGACGAGCGGTGACGAGGGGTGATGAGCGACTAAGAGAGGTGTCCAGTGGTGATGAGCGGCTCTGAGGCGTGCCGAGTGCTGTAGAGTGGTACAGAGCGGCAGTGAGCGGTGCTGGGCCATTGTGTGCGGTCATTGGTGGTGCTGAGCGCCCGTGAGTGGTGACGAGCGGTGACGAACAGTGACGAGCTTCTCAGAGAGGTGCCGAGTGGTGATGAGCGGCTCCGAGCGGTGCGGAGTTCTGCAGCGCGGTTCAGAACGGCAGTGAGAGGTGTTGGGCCTTTGTGTGCGGTCATTGGTGGTGCTGAGCGCCCGTGAGTGGTGATGAGCGGTGACTAGTGGTGATGAGCAACAGAGAGAGGTGTCGAGTGGTGATGAGCGGATCTGAGCGGTGCCAAGTGCTGCAGAGTGGTTCAGAGCGGCAGTGAGCGGTGGGTGCTGGGCTGTTCTGTTGTGTGTGGTCATTGGTGGTGCTGAGTGCCCGTGAGCGGTGACACGCGGTGATGAGCGCTGATTAGGTTGGGAGCGGTGTCGAGTGGCTGTGAGTGGCTCTCGGATATTCAGAGTGGCAGTGAGCAGCGCTGAGCTGTGACGAGTGGTGATGAGCGGCTCAGAGAGGTGCGGAGTGGTGATGAGCGGCTTTGAGCGGTGCCGAGTGGTGATGAGCGGCTGTGAGTGGTGCAGAGTGCTGCAGAGCGGTTCAGAGCAGCAGTGAGCGGTGCTGGGCCGTTGTGTGCGGTCATTGCTGGTGCTGAGCGCCCGTGGGTGGTGAGGAGTAGTGATGAGCCACTCTGAGAGGTGCCAAGTGGTGATGAGCTGCTCTGAGCGGTGCCGAGTGCTGCAGAGCAGTTCAGAGCAGCAGTGAGTGGTGATGGGTCGTTGTGTGCGATGATTGGTGGTGCTGAGCGCCCGTGAGCGGTGACGAGAAGTGATGAGCCACTCAGAGAGGTGCCGAGTGGTTATGAGCGGCTCTGAGCGGTGCCGAGTACTGCAA